AGTCGTGCAGCAATTTAAGAAGTCGGGGGCGGCTTCCTTCAGCTGCATCATCCCATCCATTCGCATGCAGGGCAGTTCCATGCCACATCCTGGCTCCCTCCTGCAGGGCAGGCCCACTGGATGCTTGTCTTTCAAGGGAGCGCTCCCGTTGGTGAGCATGGGTGCTTATAGGGACGTATGGGGAGGGGACTTGGGAAGGAAAAGTGTATTGCAACATCGCTGGTGCATCCTCGGTTTGCACTTGTCCTCTTCCTCCTCCTCGCCCCTCCCTCCTGAAGGAGCTGGGGGAAGCTGTCAGGGCGTTGGGAGTCTCCAGGAGGAGGAGGAGGAGGAGGAGGAAGAACGGCGTAGGAAGGCGCAGTCTGTCAGTAAGAATATGAAGGTTCTTCCGCCGCCGCCTCAGGGCGGCATCTCCACAGTGCTCGGCGCCGCACGCGGCGTCCTTCCGAACGTGGCGCAGACGAACGGGTTTCTCGTTCAGATGCCAGCCAACCACGCTGACAGCTCATCTTCAGTACCCCTGATGGCGCCTTTCCCTCCTTTGCGATGGCCCCGACCTTCTGCAGCGCGCGGTGGATTGTGTCCTTGATGCCCGCCAGGAGGAGGAGAAGGAGGAGGAGGAGGAGGAAGAGGAGGAGGAGGAGGATGGAGGAGTCTGGAGGAGGGATGGGGAGAGGATGCGGAGGAGGAGGAGAATACAGTGAGGAGGGAGGAGGGAGGAAGGGAGGGATGGAGGAAAGAGAACGTGCATCAGCAGGAGAAGGAGGGGGAGGGAGTGTGGGAGGGAGGTAGGGAGGCAGGAGCAGGAGGAGGAGGGGCCGAAGGAGGAGGAGGAGGAGGCGAGGAGGACTTGCTCACTCCAACGCTTCTCTTCCTGCCAGCGTTGGTAAAACCCTTGGACAACGGGTTGGTGCCACGCTACCGCGAGCATCACCTCAGCGGCGGCCCGCAGACGCCACGGCTAATGAGCAGCCTGCCATGCTTGCCACATGATGCCTTGCGGTGCATCTAGCAGGTGCGTCTTGCCAGGATCCCACCACATGCGCACGCAGCTGCAAGCACTTATACTTCAAATCACCTTGCGATGTACCCAACCCAGCTGCATCAAGTGACACACGGAGTTGGCCCAACATTGCATGGACAGCGACAGTGTAGGCGCCGCCATGTGCTGTTGACTCTGTATGGGAAACGCGCGCGTTGAACGACTCTCTGGACAGCAGCAGGAGAACGATGACTGGAGGCCCCAGGCTCGAACATGAAATCGGAGTGGGAAAAAGGGGAGGGATGAGGACGCGAAACGGGGCCGAAAATTAAGCGCGGCAGCAGCAGGGAGACGGCGGAAAGAGGAAGAGGACGACAGCGAAAGAAGCGGGACGAACATGTTTTTTCTGGTGGCGCGTTGGACACGCAGCGCGGTCCGCGCAATGTCGCTCTGACGCCCCACAACATCAAGTTTTTCTTTGCTAGTGCAAGAAGCAAGCGCTGCCCAGCTCGATCGCCAGTTTCTCCGCCTCCTTCATGCATCTTCCATCGCGGGAGCTACACGCCCGCAGGCGCGCCGCCAGGTCTGCAGGCAGCCCGCGGGCAAGGAAATCAAGGCCATGACTTGTCGCCAGGCACACGCAGAGATGCAGCCAGAGGGGTCGTCCATTTTGTTTTCTTCCCTGTCGACAGTGACTCCGCGGCGCACCGTCTGGCCCTGGCAGGCCGTGGACGTCAGGGCCTTGGTGCGGGAGGTGGCCACGCTTGCGCGCGTGACTTCTTGTTTGCGGAAGTCGAAGGGGCTTCAATTCTGCGGGCCACTGAAGACGAGGCCGGCCGCGATCGCGGCGTCGATGCTGCGATCGAGCTCCGCAGGCTTCTTGCCGCAGGGCTCCTCGCCCAGCCGCCCTCCTGGGATGGAGAGGTTGATCGAATCGGAATCTGCGCCTGGTACCCACTATGATGGCCCCAGGCAGCCTTCGAAAGTGGCGACAGTTTCGCAGCTCGCAGTCCCCCGGGGAAGAAGAGGTCAAATCTGGATCTGCTCCTGGTAACCTGCAATGATGGCCCCCCAGCAGCCTTCAAAAGTGGCGACAGTTTCGCAGCTCGAAGCCCCCCAGGACTGGCGAGGTCAAGTTTAAATTTGCAAAACTAGCGACAGCCTCGCTGCTCGCAGCCCCCATGGGCTAGCGAGGTTTAGTATGAATCTGCGTCTGGTGCCCACTGGGTGGCCCCATCCAGAAGCCGTCGGAAGTGGCGACTCTTTCGCAGCTCGCACCCCCCAGGGCTGGCGAGGTCTAGTCTGAATGTGCGTTTGGTCCCCACTATGCTGGCCCCCCTTCCCAACAATCCTCGAAAATGCCGACCGTTTCGCAACTCGCACCCCCCAAGGCTGGCGGGGTGGTAATTTGAATCCGCGCCTGGTATTTATTATGCCCCCCAAGTAGCGCGCGAGACTGGCAACTGTTTCGCAGATCGCCGCCCCCCGACCGCCCCCCGAATGATGGCGAGGTCACTTAGGACGGCGAGTTAGGAACCAGGCTGGCAAACAAGACAGGTGAGGCAGGCGGCAGGCAGAACAGGGGAGGAGGAGGTGAGGGAAAAGAGGGAACAAAAGAGGGGGAGGCGGAGGAGAAGTGTGCGACCGCGGGCTCGATTCGAAACGAGAACCAACGCAGGAAGGTCGGGAACAATCTACAAAATTGTTGTGTGCACGCGCTTTTTAAGATCACGCCAGAACCAGAAGTGCTTCGCCATCTTACCAAAAAGGACTCAGCGACCATGCTGGGCGGGCGCATATTGAAACTACCCAACAATCATCGCGCACCCGCCAATCTGGCCAAACGGTACAATTCGGGCCACGCGCACGATCCCGCACGTCCCCGCGTGCGCGACTAAATCCGTCCAACACCATTGTTTTCCGAAGTCCCCCAAGGCAGATGAAAACCCAATGGCTCTTCACCGCTTTGGTTTTCAGCATCATCATCATCATCATCATCATCATCCTCCTCCTCCTCATCATCATCATCATCATCATCCGTCGCCCGCCTGAGCTAGTGATTTGTACGAGAAGGGCCATCGCGTCACTACGCCAGCTGCGCTTTGCCGACAAGTTGCGGGTGGGTCGGTGGGATATCTATTCGAACATTGGAGGTGGTCACATGCGAGTCGGTCAAACACCAAGCGCAGTACCCACGTAGATTGCACCGCATATGCTGCATCCCGCTTGTGGCACAACGTACAACTGTTGCATGTCCTTAGTTTGCGCCAGCTACTTTGCACTACATAGTTTGGTCTCCGTTGATGGCACCGCGTACGTCGCACTCCAGTTTGCACCTCGTAGGTTGCACCACAGCTCTTGCACCGCATAGATTGCACCACGCCGCGTAGATTGCAACAACACTATAACACCATACAAATACATGTACAAATATTGCAACACATGGATTACACCACGTAGATGGCATCCCGCATTTTGCACCCTAAAGAATGCACATCGAGAGTGCAACAACAATGCTGGCATTCACTTTTTCGAATCTGGGGCCACACCATAATACACTTCCAGAGATCCGCGCGGATGTTTTGGGTCAGCACTGGACTCCCTTGGCGGCGCCTCCCGCGACGTCCCAAGAAATTCACGCGGGCCTCCGAAAGCGTATGTTTATGCAGTTTTCTTGTTTTTTTTTATGTTTGATGTCCAGCCAAAGTATACAGGGGGGGCCAGAAGAGATCCTGGCCCAAGGCGCACCCATGTTTTCGCTACATTTGGGGGGCCCTGGGGCCGTCTGGGCATCATTAGCGTTGCTCTGGAGTCCACCTTGGCCTCCCTGGAAACGTTGGGGTCGCCATTCGGCCAGGGCAACCTCTTGCCGCGCCCGAGAGACGATGCCTGCAGCCACGGTTCCACCCGAGCAGTGCCGAGGGGCCACGCCGCTGTGGCCCACCTGCCCTGGGCAGGGGCGGCCCCTCGTCAGGCAGCAGCGCTGCGGCGCTGCAGGCCGGGCTTGCGCGCGCCCGCTCGCTCGCTCGCTCGGGCGGCAATGTGCGGGGTGGTCTAAGCGGGTGGCGAGGAGAAGGGCCCGAAAGGGGCCCTCGAGGGGCCCCTGAAAGGGCCACTGAGGGCCCTGACGGGGTCCCTTTCGGGCCCTTCTCTCCCCCCCCCCCCCCCCGTCCAGGCCACCCCGCACATTGCCACCCGCCCGAGCGAGCGGCACGAGCCACGTCGCAACCCGGAGCAGGCGCCGTGCCTGCGGGGAGCGGCTCCCCGCCAAGAGGCAGCGCAGCGGGGCTGCCAACGGGGGTTGCGCCAGAGCGCCAGAGCTTGCAGGATCCTGCACAGCCAGGGGTGCACTGCCCTGGGCTTGCGTGCAGGACTGGGCGCAGGATCCTGCAGGGCCTACCTGACCCAGGCTTGCATAGACCCGGGTCAGAGCCTCCCCGAGCTCGTTCTGTCTGACGGCCTCGCAGCCGCGTTTCGCTCCCACGAGATCCTTCGGGGCCGGGGGGCGCGTGCACCGCAGAGCCCCCGACCTCGAGCTCCTCGCTGGTGAGTTGCTGCCATGGCCTGCAGCTCCATCCGAGGTGCTCGTCCTCCGGGAGGGCCTGCCCAATGCGGTCGCCAGTCTCGAGCTCCTCGATGGAGGCTCTTCGCCCGCGCGACCACGTCGATGGGCAACTCCTGAAACGCCAGCTTTTCTAGGCAGGCCTCGTCGTCGTTGAGTCTCGGCACCTGCTGGTCAGTCGGGGAGGTGGGAAGGTCAGGAGCGGCACAAAAACGTCTGCGTACATACATTTACATGGGTTTCGAGAGAGCGCATTGCGCGAGGGTTCGTGACATGAGAGCGGCCTCGCGAACTGGGACCTTCCTCATGTGCGTGGTTGGGCGCGTACGTCCTGTGTGGCTCCCCAAGAAGAGGAAGAGGAGGAACAGGAGGAGAAGGAGGAGGAGGAGGAGGACGACGACGACTACAGATCCGCCGCCAACACCCCGCCGCCGCCCCTGTCTTCCGCCGCCCAAGGCGCGCACCTGCGCATTCATCTCCCTCGTGTGGGCCGAGAACGTGCGCTCATACGTTTCCCGCTCGTTCGACCGGCCGGTCTGGGTCGAGATGTTCCGCAACGGGAGCGACCTCGCGCTCCCCGTCCTCCTTCCGTCCTCCTCCTGCCCTTCTCCTCCCTCGCCTACGTAAGCGAAGGTCCGCGGAGGACCCACCTCACCGCGTTGGCGTCGCCCGAGGCGTCGTGGATCTTCGACCCAGTCCGGTCCATGTTTTGCGTTTTCGGCCCCGCAGGGCCGAAGATCGATGCACCGTACGATAGATTCATGCGGGGATGGCGCGCCAGCGAAGGCGTTCAAGGTTGAATAGTTCGACGCGGAAGCGCCGAGGGACACAGTGACGCCATTGGGCCCGACGGAATTCAACCCTGAACGATTAGGGCAGCGATCGGTTCGAGCTTGAATGATCGGAGCGGTGTCAGAGACCTTTGCGCGCGCCGACGCCGCGCGAACCTGCCGTACCCGCGTTGGAGCGAGGCTTGAAGGGAGTCCATCGTGCACGAGCGCCGTTCTCTCGCTGCCGGGGAGGTGGGAGGGCCGAGGGGGGAGCAGAGCGGAGGGAGGGAGTGGAGACCGCGCGCGGCACGGAGGGGGAAAGGGCGGGGGCCCGATGGGGAGGGCGGAGAGAGCGGGGGGGGGGGAAGACAAGCTGTAGATGCGCCCGCGCCACGTCTGATATCCTATCGCTCCCTCCCATCCCTGCCCACTGCGGCGTTGTTTGCTCTATATCCGCGGGCGCGTGTCATGGCCGACCTGGCACGCAAAAAGAAACATGTCGTGCCATGCGCAATCGAAAGAGGGAAATTGCGCACATAGGAGGAGGAGGGGGAGGAGGAGGAGGGGGAGGAGGAGGAGGAGGAGGGAGGGAGGGAGGGAGGGAGGAGGAGGAGGAGGAGGAGGAGGAGGAGGAGGAGGAGGAGGAGGAGGAGGATATGGAAGGACGAGCGCGAGGACGAAAAGCAGCAGCAGGAACTGGAGTGGCAGGAGCGATAAGAACAGGAGGACCAGGAGAAGTCGGAGGCGGGAAAATGAGGAGGGCGACAACAATGAAAAGGGACCCAGATCAAGAAATGTGGCCAACGCGCGGGCGAGAGCGTCATTCTGAACGACGGGAGCAGAGCACCGATCCGAAACTGATACCCATGCTGCAGCGGGAGCAAATGTTTAAAATATCATTGGATAGTAAACAAAACACAGGAAACACCAAATAATGGCAGAATGCGTGTAAGCAAGTATGTGGAGAGGGCCGGAGATTTTCCAGATATAGAGTTAGGGGAAAGAGGAGAGTCGTGTTCATCATGTGCAGTTGTGGAGGTGGAGGAGGTGGAGGAGGAGGGGAAGGAGGACCCGAGGGGAATGGCAGAGTTTGCTCTCCCCCCCAGCTCTCCTCCCCTGCGCCCTTTCCGCTCCTCGTCCCAACTGCCCCTCTCCCCGCCGCGTCGCCACGGGGAAGTCCCCCCACCCGCGGGATGTGGGGGGGGGGAGGGGGAGGGGCGGAGTGGGCGCGGGCGCTGGAGAGGGAGGGGGAGGGGCAACGAGGAGGAGGGGGAGGGAGGCGGAGAGCGCAGGGCGGAGGGGGCGTCCCCTCGCTCACTGGAGGAGCCCCCTCGCTCGCGGAGGGCGGAGGGCGGAGGAGAGATGAGAATCGAGAGGGGGGAGGAGAGGGGCCCAGAGGATCGAACACCTCAATTTTGGAAATCAGCCCTCAGTCTGGATGGAACGGGGAAGAACAATGGAGGTCGAGCCTCCATTCTGGAGGTGTTCGATCCTCTGTGAGGGGTGGCAAGGGGGAAGAGGAGGAGAGGGGAGTGGAAGGGGTGAGTGCGGGAGGAGGGAGGAGGGAGGTTGAGGGAGGCGGAGGGAGGAGGAGGTGGAGGAGGAGGAGGAGGAGGTAAAGGAGGAGCAGGAGGAGGACCATGGTAAAGCCAAAATTGATCAACGATACTGCAATACACCTCCCGTCCCAAGTCCCGTAGACATGCGTCCTTGCAAGCGTTTCTTATCACTACAACGAGCGCCCCCTGAACAGGCCAACATCGCATGGACCTGCCATTGAGGCGAGACCCTGTTTCGAGAGGGAGCTGTATTGCATCTCTTGCAGCGAGTAGTAAGGGATGCGGCAGGGTGTGATCATAAAGTCCAACGCGGTATCCAGAGAGCCCCGTTTTGAAAAAGGGGCGCCCCCCATCTGGGTAAGTGATGCACAATGCTTAATTTCGGGTCATGCACTTCGAGGAAGTCCCCAGGAAACTGCCATCCATCCGTGCAAGTGTTACAAGTGTTCGATGTTCTGGTCTTTAGATTTGAGGAGTTCTCCGGCGGCAGCGTCATTTTGAAACGGACGCCTTTCTCCATCATTGTAGCTGATGCAAGCCTTGTAGACGAATGTGCGCTGGCGCTGAGGCGTGAGCTCCTCTCTCGACCTCGTTCCTCTCGAACCTTTCAGACGAAGCTCGAACGGTCCTTCAGTTCGGGGCCTTGATGGCAACCCCTCAATGATCCTGGTTGTAACTGCTGCACGCCAGTCAAGACGAACTTGTGCGGCGGGAAATGGCCCCCATCCAACCTTGTAGCTGTTGCAAGTGTTACTTCGCGCGGCGCTACTGTGAGAGCACACTTTCGAAAAGAGCACATTAATCTTTCCAGTTGTTGCGCATGTGTAATCCTTTGTGGCGCGTGCTCGGCTCGCGGGGCCCGCTCCCAACTGTGCAGTCTCTGCGATCCCGGCCTACTGGTCGACACCCCCCAGCGCAAGTGGTGCAGAGATGACTTCCGGGCGGGCGTGCACCCGACAGGCGTCAAACATTACCCCCCGCCATTCCCGTCCCCCGACCCCTTGAGGCGACGGACGAGGCCGCCAAGTGGCTTGGCCTCATCTCTGTGTCGTAGTCCCTGCGTCAACTTGTTCGGTTTTGATCTCTGTTGCCGCTCGGGGCTGCCGCGTCGGCGATGTCGCATTCCAAATGGGGCTGCCGCCCAGGCGCTGCGGAATGATCTTGTAAATGAGGCGCTCGCCTCGGCGCCGCACGCGGTCACGGGCGATATGAAGGCGGGCACCTCGGGCGGCCTCGGGAGGGACGGGGCCCTTCACGGGGCATCGGGGCCCCAGACCGACCGCGTGGCACTTGCCGAGAGGGGGGGCCGCACGAGGGCGCTTCGTCGAGCCGAGCTCCACCGCTCCTCTCAGGGCCTCCGCAGGCCCAGGAGAAGGCTCAGGGACGGGGTCGAACGAAGCTCGCAGGGCACACCGCTCTGACGAGTTCCGTGTTCGCGTCGTTCTGTGTGTCCAGTCTTGGGGCCTGGCTGGGCCCAGCGGGGGCGAGAGGAGGCCGGGTGGGGGGTGTCCGAGGACGGGCAGGGAAGAGCGGCGGTCCTGGGGAGGGATCGACTCTCCTACGAACAGCTCGCTCACCCAGGGCCCTCGGGACTCCATCCAAGGCTCTCTTGTGACCACGTCCTCGTGAAGCCTCCGAACGCGACACGGGCGGAGCGGCACGGAACGGCTGCACGCTGCACGGCTCGGCATTCATGCGACTTTTCCCCGCCCAGGACCTGGCAAACCTAGGACACCCAGCACACTTCTAGCCTGAGTTGCAGCTGACGGGGGCATGCAGAGCCGCGCCGAGCACACTGTCAGGATGCAACATTTTATCCTGGGCTCGAGCTGGGCGTCTCACATGCTGCGCGCCTCTCGAGCCCCTCGGCTTGGGGGCTGACCGTCTGGATCCTGTCGGACACGGTCTCGCCGTCGGAGCACTGGGAGTTGCCGAGCCACGCTGTCACTTGGCGGAGCTTCTTCAGCATGTCGCTGTGCTGCTTGACTGCCTCCTCTGGGACGTCATGGTATCGTAGCCCTTTCGTGGCCGCGATGTCGGCCCAGTCGTTGCCTACTTTGTCGAGCCGATTCGTGGCGGCCAGCTCTGATTGATGATACGGAGGAGGAGGAGGAGGAGGAGGAGGAGGAGGAAGAGGAGGAGGAGGAGGAGGAGGAGGAGGACGACGAGGAAGAGGAGGAGGAGGAAGAGCCAAAGGCCCCACCCTCCCCCAGGTGCGGCAGGGGGACCTAGTTACTTTGCCCCCCTGAGGGGTCCTCTTCACCCTGGTTCGTTGTTTCGTCCGTTTTGGGGGGCTCGACAACACTTGCTTGATATCACCCCCCAGCAGCGACCTCTGCTGGGAGTGGGGGTGACGGGCTGCGCTCGATCAGAACTCCGAAGCCGAAAGGGACAGCGACAGGAGCAGCCCCCCCCCCGCTGCGCCCCCCCCCAGGAAGATGCAGATTGCCATCTGCATGGCACAGGTCGCCCTCTACGCCGCCATCTTCGTTCCGCGGACGCTTCGAAAGCGGGCGGGACGGCCCACCCCTCCAGAGGCGCCGGAGCCGCCAAGATGGAGCTTCGAACTCCGCTCCGGCATTCTGTCGGTTCTCTCGTTTCTATTCAGCGGGTTCCTGACGGTCAGGGCTGGACCTAAACGGTGTTTGGGCGTTTTCGTGGGCCGTTTTCGTTTCGATTTCGTTTTGCGGTAAAGGCGGATTGAAGACAAAGCGAGGGAAAACGAAAACAACCTGAAAACGAAAAACACCGTTTAGGTTCAGCCCTGCTGACGGTCCTGGAACGTCTTGGGACAGAGCCCAGACCTCCAGGCGTCTCGAAAGACAGCGTGGCGGGCGTCGTTGCTCCATTGGTCCCAGCCCCTGGAGGGAGGCCGGCTTCGGGCGCTCTCCAGCCCACGGCCTGTCCGTCACCGCTTTGGGAGCCAGTAGTGCAGCTCCTCGGGAGGCAGCGGACGTAAACATCTTCGGGCCTCATGGGGCGCAATGGTACAGGCCTTCGGACAAAAAATAGCGAACACTCATGCCACATTCTTCTGTCAACACCTCCCCCTCCCCCCAATGTTCAAAGTTGGCGGTGGGTCTGATGAGTTGCACCTCGACCGTAGTCTCCCCCGCGAGTGCCAACCTTGAGTTTGGGGGGCAGGGGGGGGTGTTCACTAATTGTTCCCCTCCACCGCACCTCCATCCTCTGCCTCCTGAGGTCCTGGGGGTTCGGCCCCCTCCAAGCGGTGGTGATGGACCTGGACCTCCGTCGTGTTCGTTTTTTGCTCTGTTCAACCCACGGGCCCTGGTCGCCCCCCTTCCCGGGGGACAGTTTCTCACGCTGGATTCGTCCCCTGCTGCGGTTCGCTCGGAACCCAGAGGCCGAGAGGGAAGAGGAGCGCCAGGAGCGAGAAGTTGATCCCTTCGGAGGGCTGGGCTCCTGCGCCCCTGCCCCCGCAGGAGCGCCCTTTCCCCCGCCCGGCCACGCTTCGGAAGCGGGGCGGCTGCGGGGCATCGGAAGCGAAAAGGCGAGAGGGCACCGATCATGGACGGTCCATCGGTTTTTGAAGGATGGCAGCCTCTCGGAGGGGTCCTGAAGGGGGCTCCGAGAGTATTTGGAACCGCCTTATGGCTTTCGTCGGGCCTCTTGGAGGTATGTCGGAAGCTATCTTGAACCATCTTCGGCTATCCTGAGCCGCCTTGGAGGCCACTTTGGAGCATCGGAGGCCATCTTGGCGCCATTTTGGGCGAAAAAGGACCCCCTAACACACTGCGACCCCCCCAGGGGGGGAGGGTACCCCTTTCCGAAGGGAGGAGTGTTTGTGGAAGGGGCAAGAGCTCATTAGATCAACTTCGCCCAAACGGCTGGTGGAGTTTTCGCGTTTTTTGCTTCCATCCACAGTAGTGCGATTTTTCGGAGTCGCCAGAGGTTTAGGTCTCTCCCCTCTGAGACCTTCGGGCTCTACGACACCATCCTGGGGGGTGCTTTCTGGGTGGAATTTCGAGGCGGATCCAGCCGTGGCCACGAGGGAAACCCAGGAGACTCAAAATCGTCCCAAAATCCCAGTCCTGGACCTCCTCGATCCAGACATCCGACAGCTCGCAACAAATCGAGGCGGCTCCCGAGGAGTTGCCCAGGCACCTGCCCGGAGGGCATGCGAGTTCTTCTGGTCTGTCCGCCAATAACCCCCTCAGCTTTCCCTTCCCCTCCCCCCTGGCCCGGCTTTGCATTGAGCGGCCTTGCCTGGCGTTGCTTGGCCCTGCCTGGCCTTGCCTGGCCCTGCCTGGCCCTACTCGGCAGTGCTTGGTACTGCCAGGCAGCCTCGAGGAAACCTGGGCAACGGCAGCGTCGGGGGCTGCCTCCGTAGGCAAAAACGCCGAGGCTCCCCGGGCAGCGCCGGCCAGGAAGGGCCCCGCACACTGCGGCTGCGCACCTGATGCGGGCGGACCACCATGGCTGCCATGGTGCATGTGGCTGTCATGCGGCATTCCTACCTTCATCCCTGCGGCCGCGCGGCGTTTTCGTTTTTTCTCTAACTGACTGTCTAGGTCTGGGCCTCGTCGTTTTTCGTGGCTAACTTATCGGATTCGAAGTTCGTCATTTTCAAAGTTTCGTTTTCACGTGTCGCAGGGAGAGTACAGTGGGGGTTCATGTCCAGAAACACCCTGCGTGCCTCCTGGGTGCCCTGGGTTTCTTGGGTTTCGATGGTTGTGTTTTGCTGTCGAAGGCGTGACGTCCCAACGCCAGAAATCCATGGACGTCCTGGGGTCTCAGGGTTGGGTTTGTTGTGGAAGGTTTCTTGTTGCCGAACCCCTACTGTATCGCTTCGTTCACAAACTGGACCAGAAAACAAACGACACCACCCCACCTGCGGCCCCACGAACCGTAGTGTATACCAGGTCATCTGGCGTGGTTTTTGCATGGTATACGCTACGGCCCCCGATGGGCCGTAGTGCAACATGGAGGGCCGTAGGTGGTGTGGCGTCGTTTGTTTGGCGGAGACATCAGGTTTTGCGCCCACCAGGAAACAAAACCGGAGCTCCGACAAAATATGTTTGCATTTTTTGAAATTTGTTTTGGTGGCGCCGAAGGATGGCGTGATCGCGCGCACGTCCCATCTTGGATTGGGGCCAACCGCTACCCATGCATCGCGCGAGTGTCTTTATTGCCATCACTTAAGCTGTTCCAGCGTTGTCATAACGCATGCATCAGATCTTGTCCCTAAGGCCCAACCACACAGAGTCAATGCGCGTGTCGCAACAATCTCACGCATCATGCGCGCAAAAAGTGGCGCTCCGCAGTGCGCCGTGACGTGGGCCGCTGCATTGCGCAACTTTGCATGGCGCGTTTCCGCTATGACACGTGGACGCCCACGGCGTGGGTCCCGCGGCCGTGTCGCAGGCGCCTGGAGGACACCCCATCCTCACGATCTTTGTGTCTGCTCGTAAATCGCGCCGTCGACGGGTTTTAACATAATCCAGTCTTACCGCCGGCCTTTACGATCCCTGTGCCCGGTCACGGATCGTGCCACTCTGCGAATTTAAACATCTTAGCATCGTTATATGTTGTTCCCAACCGTGGCGATATCTGTGCCCGCGCGCAGGTCGTGCCCCGTGGCGTATCTGAACGTTGTACTTGCTCCCAACCCTCACGTCCCTGTGCCCGCGCGCGGATCGGGATGGCCCCCCCCCCCCCCGCGGCCGGGAGGGAGTCTCGGGGGGCCCCCCCCAGACCCCCCAGGGGGACACTAAACGGGAACCCCTCCTCAAGGTCGGGGAAAAGGGCCAGAACTACAACGATTCCACGTTCGGAAAAAGTCAAACATTTGACCCTTCCAATGTTCTTCGCCTGGTTTTTTCTCAGAGCCCCCACAGACGGCCGACGCGGCTAAAAATGACCATCTGAGAAGGTCGAAAGCACGATGCGATCGCCCAAGGGCTCCAATAGCGTCCAGAACTGTTTGAAAACAATACGGGCGCCCGCAAGCCAGATGATTACGGTCAACGGAGGTGCCCCCAGGACCCCGTCACTCTGCCAAGACAAAAAAGAGATGGAAATGGCGTTCGTGTCCACGCTTTTGCATGGGCGCGGAAGACTCAACGCGCCCCGATGGGGCAGCAAGAGTCGCCGCAGGATGGCCCGGATGAGTCCAGAGGGGGTAGACGCGGCCTACAGCCTCCACCTCCCCCTCGTGATCCTCCCCCCCCCCTCGTTCCCCCCCGTCCTGCTCCTCTCCCACCTCCTCCTCTTGCGCCCCATCCCCCCTCCCATCCTCTCCCCCTCCCTTCTCATCCTTCCCCCCCTCGTCATCCTTGCGTTCTCCCATGCCCTCCTGTTCAATCCCCGTCGTTGTCATCCACTCCTTTTCCCCCGTTCCTCCGGCTTGCCCCCCCGCGCCCCCCCCCCCCCGCCCTGCGCCGGCGGAAGACGGCGGAAGACGGCCCCATTTCGGCACGCACGCTTCCGCGCGGCACGGGCGGCCCCAAGATGGTCGGCAAGATGTTCCGAGAGGGCCACGAGTCGCCATCTGGTCGATCCAGGTCGTCCAAGATCGCGCCCAGATGGCCCAGGGAGCTTCCAGGACGCTTCGGGGGGCTTCCGAGAGGCCCTCCCAGAGAGCCCCCAGTGTCTTCCAGTTCCGTGCGTCTTTACGTCCTGCTCTGCCCGCGCCCGCTGACACATGCGCTCAAAGTGGGTGAGGGGGCCCGCCGCCGGCGGGCGTGTATGGGGCACCTCTGGTCTCTCGGGCCCTCAGCGCTGAGGCTCGTGGAGGCCGCAGCGCTCCGCTGCCCCGCCTGTCCTGCGTGTCCGGCGCGCACGTGCCCCGCGGTCAGCTGTGCGTTGACCTGTGCGGGGCCTGCTAGCGCCAGCCAGATCGAAGTGCACGAGCGGGACAGTCTGGGCATCTCGATCGCCTTCTTCCTCGGCATCGCTCTGCTGCGGCGCTGGGACTGGCGCTGCGCGGCCTTCGCCAAGCGCCAGAAGTGCTACTCCGAGGGTGTGCCCGAGCCGACCGTCCCCACTCGTACGCTGCAGGTGCCGCCCAGCACGGCGACGGGCCGAGGGCTGCCAGAGCAGCTCCCTGTGAACGCATACGTGGCGACGCCATCTAGTCTTCGAGCGTAATGGAGCGCTCTTTAGGCATCAAAGAGTTTCAGGTGTTGGTTCACTTTCCAGACGATGCCAATGGATTCTACTGGCATATGAGAATCTTGTTGGTCAGGGCTGGTGCTGCAGGAGTTTGGGTTACACTCGCGCCCACGCTGGATCTGTTCACCCATGATCTGAGTCGGATCCGTCACATCGTTCTAGCGCGGAATGCGCCGTGGCCAGCCCGAGTCAATAGGAATGGGATCTTCGGCTTCGACCCCATCACGCGGGTCGAGCTCAATCAGTTCGTCCAGCTGGCCAGGGTGCAGGCGCGCGTGCTGGCTGACGACGACCTGGAGGCCGAGGCTCCAGACTTGGGCTGCGCGCTGGCCCTGGCCTCGAGAGGCTGGGCGAGGTCGCGCCGCAGGCAGTGGTCGACGACCAGGGGCGCTTCACTGAGATCGGTGACTTGGCCGTGGCGGAGGTGAACGGTGATGTGATCTGGGCTGCCGGAGATGCCGGGGCCGCACTGGGACCCCGCGCTGCGACGCTCGCCTGCCAAGCGACGACGCTTGTTTAAGCACCTGGCTGGTATTGGGCTGGTCTTTTTCCGTCGCAAAGCCAAGGCAGTCTGTGCACCGTTTTTCGTGAAGAAGAAGGGGGGCGAGATCCGAATGGTTCTTGGCCCCCGCCGGGCCTGCCTCAGTCACAGGCGGCCGCCCACCGTGCAGCTAGGCTCTGCACGGGCCATGGTTAACCTTGACTTGTCCGACGACTTTCTGAGCCAGTGTGGGGGATTTGGTGGCACGGCGTCCGTGCCCGTCCTCGCTGGCGACGCCGACGTCGACAACTGCTTCTACAATTTCTCGAATGTCCAACTCGCCTCTTGGTTCTGCATGGAGGCGGGCTACATCGCGGACGACGCTCATGAGTTTGGAATTCCTCAAATTGGGGATGATGATCTCAGGCGTTACGACGCCCTGAGGCCTGGCGAGCAGCTGTTCATCTGCTTCGAGGGCCTACGCATGGGATGGTCATGGTCGCTCTACTTGTGCCAGACGTTGTTTGATAATCTTGTCGCAATGCAACGCCCGCTCGGCCTTGGGGGAGTGCTAAGAGATAGAGCGCCCGCTCCAGAGTTGTCTCCAGGCGTGTGTGCAGAGGGGGTCTACGTAGACAACTTCAACTCCTCTCCTTCAGCGTCAGCGCCGAGGACTCTCATCGGAGCGTCGAGCGTTTCTGCAGCCTGCTGCAGAGTCAGAGCATCGGGACCCACGGCAGGCACAGTGCGGTGACCTACCTGGAGACCCTGGGCCTCGAGTTCCATTCTCGTTTCAAGGTGCTGCGTCGCACACAGCGCCGAACGTGGATATTTGCCATTGCTACCAGTGCCTTCCTGCGTCGTGCGTTCATCAGGGGTCAGGAGATGGAGGTGTGGCTGGGCAACGCGGTCTGCATTTTCGCGCTGGCGCCCAAGCTGCTCTCCGTCCTGCAGGACTCCGACACCTTCGTCGCGGAGGCGCGAGGCCGACGGCTGGCTATCCCATCCAGTGCGAGGCTGGAGATGGAGCTTGCTCGGAGGCTGGCGTTCGTCATCAAGGCGGAGATCGGAGCTCCGATCTGGCGTGAGGTGCACATGGACGACTCCTCGACCTTCGGCTACGCTCTTCTGTCTATGCCGCGCCAGGTCCAGGAGTTCCACGACGCGGTCAAGTATCGGGGGCGCTGGAGGTTCAGGAAGGTCCAGAGCCTGCAGCCCGTCAGGTTGGACGCGCCCGGCGTGGTCGACCAGATGGGCGGCCCCTCGAGCCTCGTGAACCCCAGCGACGACGTGCTCTGCGAATCCACGGTGCCTGGTCGCGCCGCTGGCCTCATCTCAGGGGCCAAGACCAGCTACGGGCAGCGCCTCCAGCAACAGGCCGAGTCGGCTCGGCAGCAGTGGCGGCCTTCTCGCAATACTGCGAGGTTGCAGGCGCCGCCCGAGGTGGAGGTCCAGCTCGGCGAGGGCATCCCGCCCCTGGCCGACGCGCGGCCCAGGCGAGATCGATGGATTACGCTCTATGAGCGGGAGTGGCAGTGGCCAGAGGAGCACATCAACCCGAAGGAGGGTCGTGTCACCCCCCAGTCCCTCCGGCACTTCGGGAGGGGCGCCCGTGGTCATGGCCATCGCTGCCTGTATATAGGCGAAAACTTGGTGACGTCGAGTGGTTTCGAGAGGGGGCGGTTCAAAAGCCACGCCCTCAACGCACTCGCCCGTCGCTCGGTCCCGTATCGTCTTGGACGTGGCATGGATATGAGATATCGGCATATTGTGAGTGAACGGAACGTTGCAGACGAGGGTTCGAGGCGCTTTGATATCTCCAAGTCTCGTGATCGGCCCGTCGACCGCTTCGGCAACATCCGCAAGGCGAGAGATCATTGTCCAGAGAGCTCCGCTTCTCCTCGATGCCCGCCTTCCTCCTCATCAACCGCGCCTTCGGCGACGACGCGGCCTACGCGCTGCTGTTCGCCGCCCCCCTGGGCTCCTACAAGTTCCTCAGGAGGTGGACCCAGTGGACGTGGTAGGTCGACTTATCGTGATGAGATGGTCTTTCTGGAGTTGTCTGCGGGCTCTGCGGGGCTCTCTCGGGCTGCGCGGCGACTGGGGCTACGTGTTGGCCCTGCGTTCGAAATGGCTCGTGTTGAAGAGTTCGACCTCACTCGGCATAGTACTCAACGGCTGGTCCTCCACTTGGTACGCTCCGGCATGGTCTTCTGGGTCCACATGGGTACCCCATGTTCTATTTGGTCTATATCTAGGAGAGGCATCAAGAACGGGGAACGGGCTCGGCAACATGAGCTCGCGGGGGTTGAGCTGGCTATTTTCTCGGCCGAGGTCGCTCGGGAGTGTCAGAGGTGTAGGGTGTCCTGGTCAATCGAGAACCCAAGGAGTTCAAAGATCTGGGGCTTCCATCCAATGTGCGAGCTCTGTGGGCGTCATGAAGTTGTCAAGGTGGTTTTTGATCAGTGCCAGTATTCTGTGCCGTGGAAGAAGCCTACCATGGTGTTAACTAACTCGTCCTACGGGTTGTCTTTGGAGGCCTGCTGCAAGGGAGATCACCAGCATGTTCATCTCACTGGGGGTTTTCGTCTTGTTGGCTCAGATGGCCGCGCCAAGTGGGTGCGCCGCGCGGCTGCAGCAGGGGCGTATCCACCTGCCCTATGCCGTGCCTGGGCCCGCGCCATATGGCGGGCCGCGCCTGACGCTGGCCGCGGCGCCCAGCCAGACTGGCTCGAGGGCTGGGAGGCTTCTCTCAGGGAGGCCGTCGCTACCAGCGAGCGTCGGCGTCGTCGGCGTTCAGCAGCGGCTGCAGGGCACGCCTCCGCAGGTGACGAAGGGCGCGAGGACTTCTTCTTCACGACGAGGGCGGCCAAGGCGATCAACAGGCAAAGCATCGACTACGCTCGGGCTGGCCGCGGAACTACTATGCAAGCGCCGCCGGCATGATCGCATTGGCTCTGTGGGTGAGCTCAGACATCGCACGGGAGGTAACACTAGCCCTGGTTTCCTTCGCCGTGGCACGGCTGGTCTCAAGGCACTCGAGCACTATCGAAAGGCTACTGCCGACTTCGCCTCCTGGGCCCGCTCGCGCGGCATGCCGTTGCAGCCGCCTCGGGCCTTGGCGAAGACCCTGGAGCGCTACTGTGAGAAGTTGGTCCTTTTCTGGTTATAGTCCTACTGCTGGTCGTCTAGTGGTGTACGGCTGGGTCAAGCTCAAGTCTGACAATCGCAAGGTGATGCTAACTGACCTTGACCCTGTGATCGAATCTCTCAAGGGCTGGCCGAAATTGGTTCGAGAGTTCGTCGTCAAGCCTTGCCCGGAGGAGATAATTTCCTGATCCTCTTGTGGCAAGCTGAACATGACGGATTGGAGGCGGCTGCGGCAGGCATCCTCCAATACGACCTCTACGCTCGACCTTCGGAGATCCTCGACTTGCATTGCGATGGCGTCATCACACCGTCGTCGACAGCAGCATCACCGCATCGTAAGTGGGCCGTCGTTTTCGGCCCTTCCGACAGGGGCAAGTGCACCAAGACAGGCAACGTCGACGAGCACGTTATCTGCGGATCTCATGGGCGAGAGTGGGTGGTGGAGCTGCTCTCGCTGCTACGCAGCGCAACGCCCACGGACGCGTTGCTGTTCCCCCACCTCACCTTGCCCTTGCGTGAGGAGATCCAGCGGGCTGTGAAGGGACTTGGTCTCTCGGCACTCAACATCACTCCTCGCGTGCTTCGGCGCTCCTGGGCCGAGCAATGACTTGTTGAGAAAGCGCCGCGCACTCGATCTCATCCGTCGCCGAGGGCGCTGTGAAGCTATCAAGAGTGTGCAGCGCTACGAGAAACATTCCCGACTGTTGTCACAGATGAAGAAAGTACCGGCGTCTTTGATGACAAAGCTACCGCAGGCTCAGGGACTCCTTCGTGCTGCACTGCGAAGCAAGTTGCCGCAAGGTCTTCAGGACTGAGCTGAAGCATATCGTTGATTTTTTATGTGCCCCCCCTCCGTCCCCTTCTACCTCCATGCTCACGGTTTTGGCTGTGAGATTTTGGTCAGGAGTGCGAGGTGATGGTGCAGTTATCTCTCTAAATGGTGGGTTCAAGCATGTGCGCCTACCACCTCGCCAGCGATCTGATCGTGTGAATTCTCTGGACTGCTTAACTTCCGGCTGTGTGTCGGCCTGTCTCCTGGAAAAAATGAACACGGAGAGGCTGGCGCCGTGCCCGAGGGCTTTGGGATATGTTGGCTGATCTATTTAGTTGATGGGCTCCTCGGGGCTCCTCGTTTCCCCCTGAAGATTGTGGGTCCTTGAAGAAGACTAAACAACACGCAGCGTCTCTGGCCACAGTACTCAAATTGATGATGCATATCAGTTCCATGCGTCTTTATCTGCCGCGTCATGCTCTGCCCGCACCCGTTGACGTATGTGCTCAAAGTGTTCCTGCCGTCAACCCTACCCCACCAGCACCCTCAACTACGACTGAAGGTCATCGTTGTACTGGTCAGGTCAGGAGTGCGAGGTGATGGTGCAGTTATCTCTCTAAATGGTGGGTTCAAGCATGTGCGCCTACCACCTCGCCAGCGATCTGATCGTGTGAATTCTCTGGACTGCTTAACTCCAGGCTGTGTTTCGGCCTGTCTCCTGGAAGAAAGGGAACGCGGAGAGGCTGACGCCGTGCCCGAGGGCTTTGGGATATGTTGGCTGATCTATTTAGTTGATGGGCTCCTCGGGGCTCCTCGTTTCCTCCTGAAGATTGCGGGTCCTTGAAGAAGGCTAAACAACACGCAGCGTCTCTGGGCAGAGTATTCAAGTTGATGATAACAATGCATTTTTTTGAGGGGGGGCGGTTTGCAGGTTTTTCTGGTTTTAGCGCCTTCGGCTTGCCGACGCACCAAGACAGCCCAAGAGGGCCCAACAACCGCCCAAAGACGGCTTCAGAGGCCCCCGAGAAGGCGCCCAGACAGTCCAAGACGCCCTCATGACGGCCCAAGAGGCCCCGATGACGGCCTCCGAAGGCTCCAGGAACGGCCCCCAAAAACCTCCAGAGTAGAGGCAGCAACCAGCATTTCAAGCTCGCCGCCCAAAATGACCCCCCGGAGGCCCCACACGGCCTCCAGCAGGCACCAAACATCGCGTCCAGACGGCCAAGGGAGCTCCCAGGGCGCCTCGGGAGGCTTCCGAGAGGCCCTCCCAGAGAGCCCCAGTGTCAAAATGTAAGGTTTTCGCTGGGTTTTTGAAAGTTTCTCGGATTTCCACGTTTTCGGCTTGCCGACGCTCCAACACAGCCCAAGAGGGCCCAAGGATTGCCCCAAGACGGCCTGAGAGGCCTCCAAGAGAGCGCTCAGACAGTCCAACACGTTCTCAAGACGCCCCACAACGCTTCCAAGATGGCCTCCGAAGGTTCCAGGAATGCCCCCAGAAAGCTTCTAGAAAAAGGGCAGGAACCTACATGTCAAGGTCACCGCGCAAAAGGACCACCCGGAGGCCCCGCAAGGCCCCCTAGGAGGCCCCCAACATCGCGTCCAGACGGCCCTCGGCGCTCCTCGGACGCTTCGGGAGGCCTCCGAGAGGCCCTCCCAGAGAACCCCACGTGTCAAAATGTATTGGTTTTCGTTAGTGTTATAGCTATTTTTCAGGTTTCGGCGCCCTCGGTTCCCCGACGCTCCGGGGCGGCGCAAGTGGCCCCAAAGACCGCCCCAAGACGGCGTGAGAGGCCCCCAGGAGAGCACCCAGACCAGTCCGACGCGCTCTCGAGACGGTCCCAGACGCCTCCAAGACGGCCTCCGAAAGCTTCAGGAATGCTTAAGAAAGTTTTAGAGAGGCGGCAGGGACCTACATCTTGGGTTCTCCGGCCCGAAAGGGCCCCAACCGGCCCCCAGGAGACCCCCGAGAGGCTGTCGAGAGGCCCCAACGAGCTTGGAACAAGCCTCCGGGAAGCCCCCAGCCGTCCCCAACAGGGCCCCAAGACTGCCCAAGAGGGCCCCAAGATGGTTGGAGACGCCGCCAAACTGACAACACGGGAACCAGCGTTCATCCTACGACCAGGAGGCCCCTCAGATATTTTCAAGAGGGCTCCAACACTGCTCCAGAGGACCCCAGGATGTCTGGGTGCGCCCCGACAAAGCGTCACCACCTCAAACGGACAACGCGGGGACCAACGTCAGGTGCCCTCTTGGCAACTCACCTGCAACGCACGGACCTATCAAAAATAGCGGCCCGCATGCATGCTTTTCTTTGCAGTTCACTTGCTCGCAAGCCACGCGCCCCCCCACAGTGGCTCGCACGGTCGCGTGCTGAGCCCGCGTCGCAGGGGCCCCCATGTGTCCTCCAAGGTCGGGGTTCGTGGCAATATCAGGTCAGCGTTATGAATATGGTTGCTTTCCGTGCTTCCGACGACCAGCAGCCCTGACAGCCGCCCTCGTTGGCATCGAGATGCCTGGTCACATCGGCCTTTGGGGCTCTCTTTGGCCCTTGGGGCCCTCTTGGGGCGCTCTTAGGCGCCTCTTCGGGCGGCGTTGGGGTCTTTTCGGGCCTGCGAGATTTTTTGGGGTTCTCTTGGAGTATGTTTGCTCCTCCCGTTCCTCCGTTCCTCTTCCTGCTCCTCCTGCGCCGTGCGCGTGCGCTCCCCTTGCTCCTCCTCGCCGCCCGCGCCCCCCCCCCCCGCCTTGCGCCGGGGGCGTTGCCCGCAAGGGGCCGACGACGAAAAGGATGCAGGCGGGCCGACAAAAAGCAACGCGTGGACCGACAATTTGCCCGACAAAAAAAAGTGGCCCGACAGAATGGGCTGACAAAAAAACAGGGGGCCCGACAAAATGGTCCGACAAAAAACAAAGCACTGGCCCGACAAGGAAGAGCAGGCCGCCATGACAAAATGTTGAAAATGCAGCGACAAAATTATTATTGGCATCGGCGGCTGGGCGTGCGCATTGTAAATTCACAGCTACGGCGCTTGCCCCTGCGATTTTGGTCGGGCATTTTGTCGGGCACTTTGTCGGGCAGTCTGGCCGGGCATTTTGTCGAGGCAA